GAGCGTCTCCTCGACCGCCTCGTCCAGCGAGACGCCCTGAAATGTCGCCGTTGCCGGAGCGCCGGTCGACATTCGCCTTAGCAACGTCCGAAGCCAAACACCGGCAAAGTGGAGACTGACGTCGGGCGCGAAACCGTACACGACGCCGGTCGACTGGGCCAGCCCGACCGATCCCGGACGCCTCGTCAGGCGGCAGAAGAAGCCGTCGCCGTTGCAGTCGGCCTCGCCGTCGCCGTCGCCGTCGCCGTCGTTTCGGGCGTAACAGTAACCGTAACAACAGCAACAGCAGCAGCAGCAACAACAGCAGCGACTGCCTCCCGAGGGCCGGGTCATTCGGTGTATGTGTGCGATGAGGAGCAGACTGACGCACAGACTGACCCCGTTGGCGGAGACGAAGCTGGGCTGGAGGCGGCGGCAGAAGACGTCGCGCAGGCCCAAGCCCGGCAGGAGGCGGAGGCCGGCGTAGACCGGCATGTAGACGAGATGGAGGAAGATGTTGTTCAGCCAGACGCCGGTGAGCAGCACGTGAATGCGGCGCAGTGGTCGGTGCCTCATCAGCTGACGGTCCGAGGCCGGTGGGCCGGTTCGAGTCCCGCGGCCCGTCAACAGCGGCACCAGAAAGCGGACTGTGAGGAGGCTGAGCGCGAGGCCCAGGTTGACCGGACCCCCGATCAGTCCGAGACCCACGAGCCAGGCCAACTCGCTGCCGGTCGCCGACTCGACAGATCGCGGCAACTTGCTGGAGTTGTCCATCCGGCGCCAGTTCTCTCGAGTCGCCGCCATCTCGTCGTCGGGCAGAGTGGGACAAAAGGACGCCATCGTCTCATCACAATGCTCCAACTCGTGTCCGTCGGTCGGCTGAGTGGGCGGCCAACAGAGACACACTCCACTTTACTTTTCTTTTCTTTTCTTTACTTTACTTTACTGCAGACCACTGCGAGGCTGGTGAAGCCGATGTTTCGAGGGACGAACCGGAAGTCGAGTCTCTCGGACGGCCTGGCCTGTGGCAGGGTTGGCTGGCAGTGGAGACTCAGATCGTCTCGCCCAAAACCCTCCTCGCCGGTCACATTCTCTCCTCTCGCCTTGTCTCACCACCACCACCGCCACTACCACTTGGTCCAATGACGAGGGTGTCTGCTGTCCGAGAAGCTATGCTTTTTGTACCGAAAACAGGCAGTCAGGTCGACAGAAATGGCGGATACACATTTGCCCAATCAACAGTCCCATCTGCAACCTCTGCCCTGTGACACGCGGGCACATGATGCCTACAGTCCGGTACCAAATCGTGCTGGACGAGCTGAGGAGACCTGGGCCTTAAGCCACCTCAACCGGCCTAGGCTGGGACTGGGCATTTTTCATACTTTTCGCATTTAAGTAGAGTTTCGAGACTAACAGTAAATCAGTAGTATGACATATATTCACCAAATTTCATTTAAGATGATGAAGGATAAGTAGAAGAATTTTCCCACAATGATGCGAGTAGAGCTGACGTTTCCATTCAATTTCACATATCATTGCTTTCCCAAAAGTTGTTCTCATCCAGGGTGGACTGCAGTCCAGTATTGTGTCGAGTCTACCAGTAAATCAGTAGTATGACATGTATTCACCCAATTTCGTTTAAGATGATGAAGGATAAGTAGAAGAATTTTCCCACAATGATGCGAGTAGAGCTGACGTTTCCATTCAATTTCACATATCATTGCTTTCCCAAAAGTTGTTCTCATCCAGGGTGGACTGCAGTCCAGTATTGCGTCGAGTCTACCAGTAAATCAGTAGTATGACATATATTCACCAAATTTCGTTTAAGATGATGAAGGATAAGTAGAAGAATTTTCCCACAATGATGCGAGTAGAGCTGACGTTTCCATTCAATTTGACATATCATTGCTTTCCCAAAAGTTGTTCTCATCCAGGGTGGACTGCAGTCCAGT